TTGCTAAAATAGAGACCCCTGGCCTAGGGACTCCTGTTTGTGCAGGGGGCTGGACTAGAAGATCTCCGAGGTCCTTCCCCACTCTGTTATTCTATCGTCTATGTCAGGGGTCTTCAAACTTGGCAGCTTTAATGCTTGTGGACTTCAACTCCCAGAATTCCTTCTCCAAGTCATGTTCGCTCAGGACTTCTGGGAGTTGAAGTCCACAAGCATTAAACTTGCCAAGTTTGAGGAAGAGCCTTGCTGTAAGGCCTCCTCCGGTGTCAGCAAGCTGACCCCAATCAAAAACCAGGGTTTAATTTGTCCCGGAAACAGGAAGCCCTCGACTTACAATCGTTCATTTAGTGACCGTGCGAAGTCATACCGGCGTTGAAAAAAGTAGACTCAGGACTGTTTTTCACTCCTACAACTTTGGCAGCATCTGTGATGACGCAAAGGGTTGCGGCACAAAGGCAACACAGTCAAAGAAGCAATAAGAGTCTCTTTAAATATCTCCAACTTTGCCCCCAATGTCCAGTTACCTTCGGCTGGAGAAAAAGAAAACTCTCCCCAAAACAGGCTTTAAATGAAGGAAATTCAGTCTGAAAACAAAGTCCATACAAACTGTAAATAAAAATCCACACAAACTACGCTGCAGTAATTAACTGGACAGGGCAGGAGAAGGAATTGCAGACTTGAAAGGCCAACAAAACACACACAGTTGGGAAGACGCCAGGAACGCAGATTAGTCTCAACGATACAAGATAAATTCATTATTTGCTCTCAACAGTTTGCTGTGCACAACTTCCCTTTTTAAACACTTGTGTTCCCAGTTGCAGCTAATGAAGGGAATCAGGGCCCTTTCCTCCCCCGTAAGCCATGCAACCCACGTTGCTCCCTTCTCTGTTCTTCCCTGCGTGCCCTAGGATGGAGAGGGGGTGAGCCAGGGTCTTCCTCTGAACTCCCCCTTCCTTGTTCTACCTCTCCCCTGCTCTGCCCAGCCGGACTCTGCCCTTCCCCCGTTTCTTCCACAGCCAACGGAGTCACACTCCCACTCCCTGTGTCAGCTGTTCGTCTTCCTCCTCGGATTCAGACAGGGGACAGGACAGCATCCCTGTCTGGTTACGTGGTCAAAATCTGGACACCTGGCAACTGGCTCATGCCTGGCTCGGCTTACGGCAGTTCATTTAGTGACCGTTTGAAATTACATCACTCCAAAGGGGCTTATCACCGTTTCTCACACTTATGACCGTTACAGTATTCCCATGGTCTTGTGATTTACATTTGGATACTTGACAGATGATTCGTATTTATGACGGTTGCAGGGTCTGGGGGGAGGGGTCACGTGATCCCCTTCGGTGACCGTCTGACAAGTCAAGGGGGGAGGAGCCAGATTCATTAACAACCGTCTTGCTAGCTTAACAACTGCAGTGATTCGCTTAGCAACTGTTGTCAAGAAAAGTTGCAAAAATGGAGCAAAACTCAACTTAGCTAGCGTCTTGCTTAGGGACAGAACACTTTGGTCGTAAGTCGAAGACGACCTGGACTTACAACGGAGGAGAAAACACAGGGAGGAGCTTACCCTCTTTGCTAACAGCAGCCTTGCCAAAGAAATTGTTCAGTATGTTCCCTTTCGCTGGGCCTTTACTGTTGGTCACCGAAGCCTAGAATTGATTAAAAGAAACAGTTAAAAAAGAAGATATCCCGGAAACACAATAAAAATCCAATAAAGCCACTGTCAGGATTCGGGCAGTGATCCCATAAAGTGATGAGTTCGAATGAGGACAGCTGAAATCTGTTTGTTCTTCTGGTTATCATGAAGAAACCCTTAAAGCAACAACAGGGGCTGCCATGCCCTTGTTGGAGTCTGACTCTTGAGGGCAGCTGACAGGGCGTGGGAGTCGGGCTCCGGCGGCTGTGGAAGAAACGGGGGAAGGTCACAGGCCGGCTGGGCCTTCAGAGGAAGACCCAGGGCCACCCCGTCTGCATCCTAGGGCACGCAGGGAGGAACGGAGAAGGGAGCAACGTGGCTTACGGGAGAGGAAAAGGCCCTGATCCCTTTCATGAGTTGCAGCTGGGAGAACAGGATATAAGTGGGGCGTTTGCACACGGATCCTTGCCGGAAGCAAAGCATGCATTATCCTGGTCGAGGCTTATCTGGGTTTTGGCATCCTCCCAACTGTGGGTGCTGCGTTATCCTTTGGAAGCGGGCAATTTATCATCCTGGCCTGCTGTGTTAATTACTTCGGTGTGGTTTGTGTTGTTTTTTAAATTTCTAATTATCTTTATTTTGGGTGCGGACTGCATTTCTTCCCTTCGTAGACTCTTTTTGGAAGAGTTTGATCTCCAGCCGAGGATAATTGGACATTGGGGCCAAGTTGGAGGCATTAAAGGGAATTTATTCTACTTTTGTGACTCTATTATTTTTGTGTCACGCCCCAGGTCATCACAGGAGCAGCTAAAAAGACGCTGTTAAACATCTTTGTTAAGCTTTGTTGCGCTTAACAAACTATTTTAATTTCTGCCCATGGTGTATCTCCTTAGCCTGGAAGCCAGAAAGAAAATACCAACCTTGTTACTGCGGACCACAATCCTGGTTAGTTCAACAAACTTTCTTCCAGCTCGGAATAGGGTTCTCCAACCCTGGCATCTTTTAAGACTTGTGGACTTCAACTCCCAGAATTCCTCAGCCAGCATGGACACCTTGGCTGGATGAGGACTTCTGGGAGTTGAAGTCCACAAGACTTAAAAGTTGCCTGGTTTAGAAACTCTCGTGTAAGATCATTATGGATTTAATCTGTTTTTGGACAACTGCGGTGGGACCCCAACTTTGGTTTTGGGGTCAGCAGAGGAAAAGGAATGTCGTGCTAGAAGGGGACTCTATGGTAGTTTTTTGGGGGGGAGGGAGGCAGACTGGACTTCCGGTCACTAAAGAAGGACACTATGCTAGGAGGAGACTCTATGGTGGGGGGAACTGGACTTCTGGATGACTCCAGAGTTGAACAGGGTGGCTTTCATTTAGGACTGTTGAAGGTTGCGGACCCCTGCTCTAGGTGAAGGTTTTTCAACGGCGGGGCGACTTGAACATGTATGAACTTCAACTCCCAGAATTCCCCAGCCCTTCCTGGCTCTTCCCCCCCCCAGGTATTTTTAAGCATGAAGACTTACACCGGGCGTCTCTTTGGTCTCCGGTTTCACTTCCTTGTGGGCGTTCTTGGATTTGGAGGTCGCTTTGGCCGCAAACATTCCCATAATGCCTTTCATCGGCTGGGCGGGCTGCTTGGAAGGTGCGCCTGGAGCATGGCCGTTGAGTGCGGGGGGCACACTTGTGGAGGGGGTCGGCTGGGCGGGGGTCTCAGCCGGGGAGCCTTCGGCGACAGGCCTGGTGACGGCGGCAGGGCAGCAAATGGCGCTGAATCTAGGAACAGAACAAGCACATTCAGTTGGCAGTGGAACTAAATTACAGGCAGTCCTCCGCTTACGGCCGCCGTTGAGCCCCAAAATGTTACGTTGTTGAGTGAGGAAACTGTTAAGTAAAATGGTCAAAGATCTGGAAACACTTTTACAGTTCAGCAAAGTCCTGCCCGGCTCGCTCAAATCCGTTTATCGATTGTCCCAATGTGGATCAATTAGGAAAGAAAGACTCCTGATTAGCCAAAAGGTGGTCCTCAATTTACCACAGTTCATTTAGTGACCAAAGTTACAATACTGAAAAATGTGACTTAAGGCGGTTTGGTCACACTTAACAACCGTTGCAGCATCCCCATGATCCAAATTCAGAATTTTTGGCAACTGACTCCTATTTCCGACGGACGCAGTGGCCCCCAGGGCTCACCCGATCCCCTTTTGTGACCTTCTGGCAAGCAAAGTCAATGAGGGAAGCCAGATTCACTTAACAACCACGTGATCGACTTAACAACAGCAGTGATCCACTCCACGGTGGCAAGAAAGTTCGTAAAATGGGCAAAATCCACTTAAAAACACATTTCGTTTCGTTTCCTTGATGGCCCTTGCACCTCGTACAACGAAATCAAACCCCGTCTTCAGTGCACATCATGACCATGAAAATAAACACAAACACACACCCTTCACACTCCACACATTGAATGGAAAACCACCAACACTGCACTATACAGTAGAATGCAATAGAGCTCCTGCCCTGGGATACAACCTGTTTTTCAGCCTGTTTGTCCTTGTTTTTATTATTCTCCTGTATCGTCTGGCAGATGGTAATAGTTAAAAAAAAAAAAGGGTGCCCAGGATGAGATGGATCTTTGAGGATGTTTTGAACTTTCTTGAGGCAGTGGGAGCTATGAAGCTCTTCCAAAGAGGGGAGAGGGCAACCCATGAACCTCTGAGGGGCAATGATGTTAACCCTCTGGAGTGACATCCTATCTGCCCCTGTGCAATTGGCAAACCCTACAGAGATGCCGTAAATTAAAATGCTCTCTATGGTGCAGTGGTAGAAGGTCACCAGCAGTTTCACTTAGCAACTGAAAATTATGGTTGTTAAGTCAAGGACTACCTGTACTTTTAAGTAAAGCCAAAGTGGTTGCAGAAGAGGCAAAGCTGTCTGAGATTTCTGCGCGCAAAAGATAAATTAACTTTCCTTTGGTCCCGGACAATCCCCCCCCTGCCAGTTATCAGACAAGGTCCAATCAGGCATTAACAAATGGTTCAAAAGCCCTCTCTTCGTGCGCTCGCCGGCGGCTAGTGCTTCCCTTGGGACGGTACATCTTGGGTTCGATTCCTGTAAGTTCCCTCCCTCCCTCACCCCCCCAGTTACTGATTTCAGGCTGGCAGCTTGCAATGCGTAGCTCCGCGGAGCGTCTGCCATGACACCGATGGCCGCCTTGCCACGAGCCCACTCACTTGCCACAGTTCTCGAGATTCGCCTTGAGGATGTCGTAGTCGGTGTTGAAAAGGGGGCTGCTGTCCCTGAGCTGGGCTTTCTGGATGCTGTAGACATGCACGCTGGCCAACGTGGAGAACTTGGACTTCATGGCTGCAAAGGAGGCAGAAGCCGCTTAAGGAAGAGGGAGGAAGGGAGGGAGGTTTTCTCAAAACAAGTGGTGTAAACTGGGCCAGTCTCTCCCTCTCAGCCCAGCCCACCTCACCGAGTTGCTGTGGTGGGATATGTATGTATGTATGTATGTATGTATGTATGTATGTATGTATCTATCTATCTATCTATCTATCTATCTATCTATCTATCTATCTATCTATCTATCTATCTATCTATCTATTATGGCTCCAGGCTTGGATTCAGCTCCTGTGACTGATATGAGTTCAAGTGAGGAGGTCATGGCAGAAAAATATGAGCCGGCCTGGCTTACTGATTGGACTGATAATCAGGATGAGATGGACGTGACAAAGGACGACAGACCTGATGTATTAGAATTGTCAGGACCTTTGACCTCCTCTGGTCCCTTATCTGATCAACAGCCGGGAATGGCTGACAGGGAGGTTTTGAGAGTCTTCTAGTGGAGATGAGAACTTGGAAAATTTGTGGTTAAATGTAAAAAACAGAAGACGGTTGAGAAGGCAAAATCAGCTGGAGCGAATGAGGAGAGCGAGTCAGTAAATTAGCACGTTGCCTCAATAAAAGGACACAGCTGGGCTGGTACATTTTGCCAGGAACAAAGTGACTATTTGAGTGAGGACGTTACAGCAAGAAGCTCTGAGGCTGGAGATTTATTGCCAGGACTGGTTTGCCGGACAGAGTAAAGATTTATGTTGTGGTTTCTGCCAACCGTTATCTTGTAAGACTTCTTTCCGTTTGATTTAATTGTGAAACGGCTGCTTTCTGTTTTGTTCGTTTGAATTTTGAAGGGGAGTCATAACATCTATCTATCTAAAGAAACAGACATCTTGCGATCTCCGGAACTAAAATTATATTTATTATACTTACTAAGCTTTCATCAGCCTCTGCTGACATCATCAGAGTATTAAACTACCGTTACATGGATGGATCTCTGTAATGGTAGTTTAACACTCTGATGATGTCAGCAGAGGCTGATGAAAGCTTAATAAGTATAATAAATATAATTTTAGTTTCGGAGATCGCAAGGTGTCTGTTTCTTCTCTTACAAGTAAACCTGGAACTTGTATTTTAAGAATAGTATGTATGTATGTATGTATGTGTAAAGGTTTCCCTTGCACATATGTGCTAGTTGTTTCTAGCTTTAAGGGGCGCTGCTCATCTCCATTACAAAGCCGAAGAAGAGTCAGCGCCGTCCGAAGACGTCTCCGCGGTCATGTGGCCAGCATGATTAAACGCCTTCGAAGGTGCACAGAACGCTGTTCCCTTCCCACCAAAGGGGTCCCTATTTTTTTACTTGTATTTTGTTTTACCTGCTTTCGAACTGCCAGGTTGGCAGAAGCTGGGACAAGGAACGGGAGCTCACTCTGTTATGTGGCACTGGGGATTCAAACCAACAAACTTTCTGATTGACAAGCTCTGCGTCTTAGCCACTGAGCCCCCTTAGTGTGTGTGTGTGCGTGCGCGTGCGCAGACAGACACAAATGTCATATTTTTCAGAAATGATTTTGAAGTTGTGTACAAACTTACCTTCTAATTTGTCTTCTTTCACCACTGCAACCTTATGGTACTAGAAAGAAAAGGAAGCTTATCACTTCAGCAAATATTTGTTACCGCCCAATAGATCAAGACTGATTATTAACATATACAATCTGCCTTGTCCATGTTTTCTGGACAGCGGTAGAACTCATTTTGAGGGGAGCGATTTAAGCCTGCAATGGGTCAGCTTGGGAAGCCATACTGAGATTCGATGCTTCCACCCTGCCACAAGCCTGAGTCAGTGGGAGGGTGGTGGTGGATTCAACTGAGTAGCTCTAAGTAGACAAATCATTTCGTTAGCTCAAGGTCATTAAGTACAGGATGAAATAAGGATCTTACTTTTGGACAGATCGTGATTAGGCCATGTGATGTGATGATGGCCAAGGGGAGATGTAGTTTTGAGATATTGTAGGAAGTTCGAAAACTTTCATTCAGGATTCCACAGATGTGCCAGTTTTACTATCCTAATAAAGGTACTTTTGAGATGTGTTTGTCTCAGTTATTGACTGGAATGGAGGTTTGCTGGAACCCTGACATAATGACCAGGTTTCACTCCGGCTACTAAATTTAAATTCAAAATGTCCGATGCAAGAGAAAGCCCCTTTCTGACTTACGGTGTGCCCGTTCTGAACAAGGTTCCCTGCCAGTAAATAGGTGACATGGAACTGGGCTCCCGCGTTCTCCTTTCGTTTCCTTTCTACGTAGTCATATAACATTCTGTAAAAAAAGAGGGCAAAGGCCGAGATGAAAACAGACAATTAATGTTTTGAAATTTTCAATAACTGTCCCGAGAAATTAAACAAGAGCATATGTCATCCAAAGTACGCTGTGCAGCTCAAGATTAAACAGCTAAAATTAAAAGTGGGTTGGTTCTAGGGGTTAAAGCACCAAGCTAGAAAGCAGCAGACTGTGAGTTCAAGTCCTGCTCTAAGCCATGAAAGCCAAGCTGGGTGACTTTATGCCAAGGAGACAGTGAGGTCAAGTCTTGCCTTAGCCATGAAAGCCAGCTAGGTGACTTTGAGCTAGTCCTTCTCTTTGAGGGTAAGATCCCTGCCCCAAAGGCATGTTCCAAAGATGGTCCCAAATTAAGATGGACATGTAATAAAGTTTGTTTACATGTAGTCCTGGAATTTCCATCACTAAATGAAGTGAGCTTTAAGCCAAACATCGCTTTGCTGTTCAGTGATGGTAGTCTAGATCAGAGATCGCCAACATTTTGGACCTCAGAGACCACCACACTCATAATTTTAAATCCCACGGATCAGAGGCCTTGGGAAAATCCCCAAAAAGTCTGCAGGAAAATTCCCCATCCTGTTTTCCTAACGATCGATTGTTCTTTATTTGGGATCACAGGATACCGTCTCCAGCTCCATTCACAAGGGGGAGAGAGAGAGAGAGGAGAGAGTTTTGGCTTCATGCAAGGAAAGCAGCAGAAGCCGCAGAAGTCTTTCTTTTCTCCCCCAAACTCCGCCAGAAATGAGTCTTTGCAGCCTCTTGGAGCAGGAGGCCTGGCAGGGTCCCAAAGACTCATTTCTGGTGGAATTTGGGGGGGAGAGAGAAAGACTTTGGCTGCTTTCCTTGCGTGCAGCCAGAAGCAGAAGAAGAAAGAAGCGGGCAGAAGCAACCCGGTGGCCAGGCCAGGCGCGTGGGGTGAGTGGGGCATGTTCCCCGCCTCCGTCCTTTCCCCCCTCCCCTCACTACCTCATGTTGTTTGCAATGCAAGCAATGCAAGCCTTGTGTTCCCGTGGGCCATGTGGGTGGTGCAGCCTTGTGTTCCCGCGCAGCCTGGATGAATTGCTTTGGGGGGGGGGGGTGACATTTCTCTGTGGACCACCAACATTTTCTCATGGACCACCAGTGGTCCCCGGCCCACTGGTTGGCAACCACTGGTCTAGATTGTGGTTGTTACAAGCAAAGTCAGTGGGGAAGCCAGATTCACTTAACAACTGTATGACTAACTTAACAGCTATAGGAAGAAAGATTGTAAACTGGGCAAAATTCACTTAACAATAGTGTCACTTAGCAACAGAAATTTTGGGCTCAACTGTGGTCATGAGGACTACCTGAGGATTAGAGATGCGCTCCCTTTTGAATCTGGACTACGAAGTACAGACGAGAGAGATCAATACTTACTGTTTTGCTTGATTCACATGAACTCCCAAGGTAAAGCTCAGCCATTTATATGTCACCTGCCAAGGAACGCATGTCATTATTATAACAAAAATATCACCACAAATTGAACCTCCACTACCACAATCATCCTGGAGTTGGGAAGTGTCCTGGAGTCCACTGAG